GATGTCGCCGAGGAGTTAGTCCGCTTCTCTACATGACTTTGGTAAAGTTTGCAAATACTCGTGAGTGCGTATATGGAATTGGCAAGAACCTGATAACCCTGCTGATAAGGAGCACGCTTCTGACAAGGATGGGTAAGTCTGAATCTTGCTGGCAACTCCCAAGATTGAAAGCATTAGCTTTCTACTATGCATCGAAAAGCACAAATACAGACATGAAGATGCAGGTCTACGGATGTCTACGGTCAAACACACGAATGTAGGCACATATTTCTTGCTTGATGATCTGTCTTCAGGTGGAGCTTCCGCGGACCGCTTCGGCGGAGCTTTCGCTTGCTTCCGCACACACGGGTCCCGTGCAAGTATTTTCGGCCGAGACGAACCATACATCGCTCGGCGCAGTCTTAATCAAAGAAGCACATGAACAAAACGTGCTCATTTGTCTGAGGCGAGGGCAAGCTCGAAAGCATCGCTGAGTTCTTCGTCCGACAGGAATTGGGCATGGATGTTCAGCGGCATCGCGACACAGCGCCTTCAATGTGTGCTTCGTTGTTCAAGCTCGCCAAGCTAGACGAGTGACTGGCATTTGAGCTTTGGTTTCCTGCAATGTCTTCGGGTTCTGGGGTCGCAAATGCTGGGTGATGTTAGCCCGAGCTCTGCACATCGCTCTTTTCTCGAAACCCTCAGGTCATGAGGATCAAAGTCCAAGCGACGAACCGTGCTTGGTCGCACCCAGGAGGGCAACCAAGTAGTGCACAGGCGTTCCGAGCGGGAAGCATAAACCCAGAAGCAGCGGGCAGCCGTCCCTGGGCAAGATACGTCAAACGTTAGAGCCAAAACCCTGGCCGTCACAGCTCTATGGCATGAACTCTCCTCGGGCACGCGACTAACGCAGACACGCGTATGTCGTTACATGATCTTGAAGACTCTCGTTTACAACAGCTAGCTGTTCACCTCGTCATGGCAAGCGCATTCATGCATTTGCGGACACACATAAAGCATGAACATCTTGCTTTTGGGGGCAACACGCCAGCACAGTGTAGGTGCATGTGCTGATTCACTCACACACATACCGTGCGATATTTAGCTTCTCTTGATTAATTGGGCCTTACACCAGCAGGGCACTTGCCTTGTTGGTGCATTACAGGCTGTACGAGGAGACTAGCGGCAGAGCTGCAAACCCCACACTCTTAAAGCCTCAACCCTGAAGCCCAGTCCCAAGAACCTCGCACCACAACGTCAAACCGACACCCAACTCCCAGATCCTTTCACAGAATCACTTTACAAGGCCCCTGCATACAGAAACAACTTCAAAGCGCTCCACAAGAATAACAGATTGATGTGAGCCACAGGTAGGGTATCTAAACGATTCGATCTTCAATGCTGATGCATGTAGTCTGAACGAGTCTGGGCGGTGGCCTATGCAATATGCAAGTTCGCCAGGGGGTGGTGCTACACGTGGAATGTTTGCCCATCTCCAATCAAGGCGTTGGTGGAGTTCCTGGAGCAAGGATTCAGTGTATTTGGGGATACAACACCTCGCATACCGATGAATACAGGGCTTCCCCAACGGCGTTTTCAGTGCAATATGCAACACAAACCCTTTGTGGCACACCCAATGTAACAGGTATGTAGCGGGTGTAGGTCGCGGCAAGCCAGGAATATTCAAACAAAAATATCTCCGGGGTGATCGCAGTTAGAAAGGCTATGCTGTTACCATGGCAAGGTGTAGGCGGGAGCGCCGCATGGCAAGCAGACCAGAAGCAGAAGCAGTGTAAGGTTTCACAGAACCATCGATTTTCATCCCGGCAGATGTTGAGGCAACCGTTCGGAATCACTTCTGACGCGCATCGGCCTCGTGCATTGACCAACATGCCTGCAAATTCCTGCAACCGTGCAGGTCAAGAACATGGCCTAGCGAGCACAAAAACGACAACCCTGAGACCGTGCTCAGTGATTCAATTTTTACAATCCAAGGGGCTCTGTCTCGTGTGACCGGGCGAGATTTCGGGCAAAGTCATCCTCGGCATCTTGCAACACTGTCCCTTTGCAGCTCCTGAGCTGCTTCCTTCTGTACGGATCAGTCACGAACCCAGGCTTAAGCAACCTGGTATTTTTCTATTCCCGGGTTAAAGTCATTGCAAAACTGCCGAACGCTGAAGACTTCAAAACTTAGGCCTTGGAATGATTGCTCCTTTCAGCCACACTCATCACGCACTACGAGTCAAAGCCTTAAGGAAACAAACAAGTCAAATTGTCGAGCCGTCACCTCCTTTATATAAGCCACATCAGCCTTTACAATGCTATTTCGATGCTGCATCTTTAGTCGGGTGTGGCTTATCCACTAGGCTTGACTCCTCAAGCCATGAGCTGGAGCTCGACAAAGCATCCGATTGGCTTATATCAGGGTTAGGTAGGGGCTTATGTTTAAACGGTTTAAGAATGTTAAACATTTAGTGTTTAAATGCCGGAATGTTTCAACAAACGGGCCCCGCAGCAGAAGTTGCTTAGACTGTTTAAACTGCTTAAACGCTTTTTGAACGCCCAATGGTTTAAACATGCAATTGTTTACACACACACACACGTTTAAACATCTCTACTCTGAACTGTACCATACACTCACTTCACCTTCAACCTTGCTAAAGCAGAGGCCCACATCGACGCCTGAAAACCTGAAGTGAGTACGTACATTGAAACTCCCCAGGATGTAAGTCTAAGACCGTTTAAAACAGTCTAAACGGCTTAAACGTTGGAACAGCTCTTCTGAAAGTATGACAAGCAGGACGTGTGGGGCGTTTAAACGGCTTGAACGTTTGAACGTCGGAGCAGCACTTCGGAAGGTATGAGAAGCAGGACGTTTGGGGTGTCTAAATGACGGTTTAAACGTTGAATAGCGTTCAAACCGTTTTAACTCTAAACGATTGAGCAGCACTTCCGAAGGCATGAGAAGCAGGTCGTTTGGGGCGTTTAAACGGTTTAAACCTTGGAGCAGCACCTCCGAAGGTATGAGAAGCAGGACGTTTGGGGCATTTAAACGTTTTAAACGTTTAAACGGCTTAAACGATGGACCAGCACTTCGGAAAGTATGAGAAGCAGTGTCACGGCTGTGGTAGGTTCAGTAAGACACGGAGCTACTTTGTTAGGAGCCTGCTGGAACAAAGAACTACTGCGGGCAGCGACACAGACAAATGTTGAAACACAAGGCACCCGCGAAATGTTTAAACATGTCCAAACGTGCGAACCCGACATGTTTAAACATGTCTAAACATGCCGAACTCCGACCTCTGTTTAAACGGTTTAAATGCCTGTAATGTTTAAACGTTTAAACTCCCAAACGTGTTTGGCCCATCCATAGCTTATATTATGTGCAAGCTAGATGCCACCAATGCATTGAGCTGGCTATACGAGGTGGTGGAGAGTGCCTCCCCCGTCTGCTGGTCAACGTGAACGAAGCACGGCTTCCTTGGCATCTAGAATTCCTGCTCGCTTCGTGCGAGTCATCTGGTCCGATGAGCGAATGTATGCTTGCATGCGTGTGTGTCTCTGTGTGTGTGTGTATGTTTTAATGCCAATACGGTAAGGCAGCCCGCTCTCTCCACAAGGATCCACACCTCATGGTCATGGAGTGAGTTCGAAAGTGTCCTTCGATTCGGGCAACAGCTGGTTGAATAGCCGATGGACAGTCACAGTCGTTGTTGTCCGTCAATCCTTGTCGCTGCCGGACGACTCTTCTTTGATAGACTGTTTTGCTTCTGCAACTATTGTGTGTCCAAACTTGTACATGAATCATCAGTAATAATCACCACCAGAGAAGCATTCCAGAGAGTACCGTCGAAAGCATACGTTCAACATGTAGTCGAACATGGTCGAACGATCAACTAAGGCTGCTATCAATTGACGGCATCCATACGACGTCTTTCTTAAAGTGTCAGTTTTTGATTGCTGCAAAACAGTGGCAGCACGCAGGTTGCTTGACTAGGACAAAGAGAATACGAGTGAGGGCGCATCTGACTTTTGTCCGTGCCCACCCCCTGTCTACACTTGCTCCTCATACATATTCTGATGAAACGAGACTGTCAAGGACGAGAAGCCAACTCGTCATGCCATCTTCCCCCAGCTCCAATGCTGCAAGTGCAGCAACAACTAGGTAGGTAATTGAAAGCCCATGACGAGACCCAATGTAGACGATGGTTGATGCTCGCAAGCGCCTTGATGGAACACAGAACAACATGTGATGATCGAACTCAGGTAGCTCTAACAAACTGGACATGGCCCCTGCGTGATACCTTCTTTGAATGACTCTGCCTCAGTGGCTTCAGTAGCGCATTAAAACATGAGACAGGACGTTAAGCTGGGCATTTCAACATGCAAGTTGGCGTGTGCCAGCTGAAAACCATGCTCCGATGTGGCTCTTGATGTAAACCCCTGACATGGGTTTACATTATTTATGAAGCGAGGGCATCCGTGTAGCTTTCCGCTCCAGCACAAGCATACAGGGAGGGAGTCCAAGCGGCTCGTTGATTCCCTTGCGCAGGCCATCGTCTTCAAATATGCCGAGCACGTTCATGGCAGCGCAGGCTCGCTCGGGAAATCACGTCTGTACTCTCGATCCAAGAAAATCTGAGGAGCCGGATTCGGCACCACATCAGAACATGCTTCCACCTCCCTTGTCGAGGGAGCTTTTGAAGCAAAAAATGCTCTTTTTCCATGCTCTTCACGGTGCTCCCATGCAACTGGATATCAGTAGTGGCAATTCATTCACGCCTCGTAGAAACCCACAGCTTCGGAATTGTGGGCACAGCTCTCTCATTTGAGAGGCTGCTCTAAGCATTGCTCTAGTGGAAAATAAATCGAGGCCAATGCCCAGGCCCCTTTGGCCGGATTCTGTACAAAGCATGAGGCGGAGATGTTCTTGCACGCTTAGACTGTGTGTGTGGTTTGATACCTTGCGCAAAACTCTCGCACCACTAGAGAAACCAGCGAGTCGTGGCCTTTTGTACAGCTCAGTCATCGCTGGTTCCAGCCTCCTTGACTGGCTTTAGCCTGGCAGCGAGAGGATCGGAATCTTCGGCTCTCTCGCTGGCTTGGGTGGGGGCTTCTTCGGCTCTCTCTCTGTCTTTCTTCTTTCTTGCGACAGGGTTATGGTGGGGAGTTGCCTCCCCGCCGCGCACCGGTGCACCCCCGCCTGTTGCGGGTGCCAATATATCTTCTTCTTTCACAAGGGTAGGAGGAAAGGGAGCCAAGATGTCTCTCCCTCTCTCTCCTTGCCATCTTGGCCTCGCCAGTCGGGCTTTGGCAGAAGCAAAGGCTGCAGCCACCTGGTGAGGAGAGTCGCCACTTACTGCACTCCTTGTCTACTTTTAATTTTTGTCCCTGCAGGCTCAACAAGCCACGCCATGCCATGCCACGTTCATGCGAGTGCGCCTCTTTGGAGACCACCACGGCACTTTGCTCACTTTCAGCTCGAGACTCTGCCGGCTCTGCCTTCAATGACACTCTGCTCCGGTCGGAAACACGCGCTCTGCCCTCTTGGCCCTGGCCTCCTTTGCCTCCTCGTTGCCAGGCCCAGGCCTGAGGACGGTCAGCGAAAATCAGCGTCTCACTGGAATTCGCTCTGCTGATTTGTCAGCCGCCGTCTGGCACAGGACGTGTCAAACGATGTCAGACGACGGCTGGACATCTGATAGAGATGGTCAAGGAAGGCATGGAATGATCCATGACCAGTCGAAGCGGGCGAGTCTTCGATGAGTGTTCAGCCGGATATATGTGCATGCCTTTGCAGTGTCGTCTTCGCGAGTCATGTCTTGGAGCCGCAACGGTCCCCGTTGTTTCCGAAAAAGGTGTCTCTACATGTCTCACCGGATGGGGATGTAGCTCACTAGTCACTAGCTCGTGGGATGACTCTTCCCACAAATTCCTTCGAGCACATACGCATCTTCGTACACCCGAAGCTTGTGAATTTCGTTCGTTAGATCTCACCAACCCGTGTGATCCAAGCATTGAGTTCTTGCGCTGGCTGCGATGATCTGCAAAGCATGTGTCCGGCGCCGTTATGTGCTTTGACACGGAGCGAGCTGGGTCAGGCTTCTTAGCTGAGCAGATCTGCGGTGTCTTGGAAACAACCTCTGATGCTCGTGCCTTGTGACACGCTCATACCGCTGGCCAGAGCCTCAGCCACAGTCCGCACAGTGTCGATCCAGGGTGTCGTGGATCTAGGCACAGAGCAGAAATGGTAAGCCCAATAAGAAGCAGGCCCATGCTTGATGAGGATGCCTCTTTCCTTCAAGGACGAATTGTCATCAGCGGAAGTTGTGCTCTGTCCACCGTCTCACATCTGACTCAGTTTTTGACTTTGTCTCTTCTGGACTGCAATTAATGCGAGGTATGCTTCAGCGAGACCCTCCAAGCACCATGCTCGATCTGTGTCTGGCGCTGAGAATCTGCCAGGCACATCGGGGCGGCACACCAGCGTCTCTGAATGGGTGCTCGCTGTCTCCGCGATGCCATGCAATCTGCAAATGCCAATGCCCTTGCCTTCCTCTTCCCCGCTGTGCGGAGAAACAGGGGATGCTCCTTGCAGCGAGGATGGGCGAAGACTGGGGCTTCCGGATCCGTCGGTCAGACACACAGACAGCCGACAGCAGGCTCTGCTTTTCGAACATCGGATCCCGAGGCCTTTGGCAGCTCGCAGCGCTGCAAGCGCCGTCTCCGACTTCGAAGATCGCGCACCTCTGCCAATAATGCCCCCATGGGCCGGGGCTCGACTCGGACATGGGATCGCCTCCGTTTCGGCGCCAGGTCTCTAGGGCAGAGGAATGATGGCCGACCGGCGGAACAGGCGGCACGCCTCTCACTTCCCAGCTGTTCCAAGTCGAAGTGAGCGACAGTGTTTTCCGAGCCTGCTGGGAAAACTTCCGGAACCCGTCCATCCTCGTGCTCGTGCGAATGAAAGGCACTGCGGCAGTCAACTCGAAGAGCTGGGAAAGCGGCTCGGCGTGCGGACCTCGTAGGCTTAGCAGGCTTAGCATGTACAATCGACAGTGACCATGAAAGCACACTCAGGGCCCTGCTGCTGCTCCCTCCGAACCTTGCGGAGACTCTCGCTGGAGACAGCGGCCAGGAGTGCACGCCAGCATCAACCAAGTCCCCCGCCGCTGAAGGCAAGACTTTTGGAGGCTCGCGCCCTGTCTCAAGACCTCAAAGGTCTCAGACGGGAGAAAGGCGCTTGCATGCGCTTGCAGACTCTCAGGTCCTCTGGTCAGCCTGGGCTCGAAACGGGGACTCGAAAAGTGAAGGCCGGCTCTCCTGCCATGAGCATTTGCTTGGCTTGTCTTTTTCTGTGCCCGTACCCCTTCGATCCATCCTTTGAGGCGTCGCCTTTCCATGTGCCTGGCCACACCGGCTACTGCAAAACACCGGCTCCGTTGCGGCAGGCTAATGGCATCGTGCTTGGCTGATGACTCTGGAGGGTGTTGACTGCACGGAGGATGCGAAGGAGGGCGACCTCAAAGCAGGACTTGCAAAATTCCTCCTTTGAGGGGACCTTGCGCTCACGCGATTGCATAGTTCGTCTTTGGAGCTTCCGATACGCGAGGGAAGTCGTGCGGTTCGCCAGGAAGCCAAGAATCGCAGGAACCAACCCAATAACTCCGACACAGCGTCTCTCTCGGGGACGACGACTCTGCACTTCGATGTACTGGTCGGCCACAGACGGGGGGGTTACGGACGTTCTCGCGCAAGATCTTGATGGGGAAGAAAAAGAGCAAACTTGTGAAACATGGCTGTGAGTGACACCCATTTTGCGTGTGGAAACACACAAAGCGCAACCGATTGCGCTTTGTATTAAGCCATATCAAACGACACACAAAGCCACTCTTCCTTCAAAGTCAACAGCCCTTCAAGAGCCCCTCTCTTAAGTCCGCACAAACCAGGCTTTCCCACAACCCCCTCCGAAGCCCCTAGCCTTTAATTTTGTGTGCAAAACACAAAGTGCAACCGGTTGCGGTTGCCATTTTGCGAGTTAAAATCAGCACAAACCCACCCCTACTCCTCGTTTTGAATTTTATAAGTTCCACAGATCAAGCATTTCCCACAAGGCTCTCCAAACCCCTCCCATAATGGTTTGCTCACACGGCAACCTGAAACCCACATAGGCTCTGGAGGCTTTGTCGTGTGCTTGCGCGGGTCTTGTCTTGTCTGTCTCTGTTTTGTTTTTTGTTTGTCTCTCTTGCTTACAAGTATATCTTTTCGGAATTCAAGATCTTTGGTCAAAAATGGAATATAGGTCTTTTTGGGAGCACAAGAAAACAAAGGCATCTTGTACGTTTAGCAAATTGTGTTGTCACTCACACCCATTGGCCACGTTTCATAAGTTTGCTCTTTTTGACTTTAATCCCCATCAAATCCATCAAGATCGTCCGTAACGCCGTATCCCCGTCTATGACACGGCCAGTGTAGCGCCATGCACGCGTCGGTCTCGGTTCTGGCACACCATGTCTTATTGGCTTGAGACCCGCACATGTTTGCCCAGGTTTCTGGCTTTGGATGATCTTGACTGGCTACCAGTATCCATACATGCAGCATGCACTACCAGCACACCCTTACGGAAAATTTGCCGAGGCTCGAGCGGAATTGTTGCAATGTCTGGTGCCTCCAGGCGCTGAAGCTGAGCGCTCTCCTCCAGCCGCGCAGACACCTGCCAACGAGTTGACCAAGCACAGTCCCAGAACCTTGCAGCCTTGTATCGCCTCGCCTCCTCATGCGAAAGTCCAGACAGTCCCCGTGCCTGCCGGAAGACTTTCCATGAGTTTACCATGAGAAAAACCACAGTAATTCCGATGCCTCCTGTTGTGCATCCTGCAGGTCATGGAAGAGAATGAAACATCAAGCCATCAATAGCGAAATCGAAGTCTTAAGCTCCTGAATCTGCCTCCACAGGCTGTCAGTGACCTAGCAAAATGCGAGGGTCCCTCTCGTCTGCTGATGGAAATGACTGCATCAGAGCTCAGCATAAACCGAGAGATGAGACAGCCGACAGGCGAGTCTTGCCTCCGTGTGCTCGGCCCGACGTCTCTCGAGCTCCTGTCGGATCATTGTTCGTCTCCCCTTCAACTACACCCCACTTCATTCACTTCGTCTTTCGGCGACCAGGATGCGAATAGCAGCTTCTGCAATAGCATTTGGAGAAAATCTTCTAGACCCTCGAAGCAAAAGATGATGATGAATGGGCCAATGATGTTGGGGCTCGGAATCAGACCCCTCATCAGAGTAGCGGATTCGCTTCGTAGACAACCCATCACTACGGCCCATACAAGTAGAAAAATGGGTGAAATGGATGAGCCGAACTGCTCAGCTTCGCCTGACGATGGACTGCCACTTCTCGTTGACGGTCCTCAGAGTTGCGCATGCTTTCGTACAGGTTTTCCACAGGAGCAGGGCGTCTGCGCGGCCACTCAATCAACGAATCTCGGCATGTCACCGTCAGTGACGTCACCGAGGCCTCGAACCGGCGCTTCCATAAATCCGCGTCCTCGAAACGCCAGCACTCTCAAAGTGACTATCTGAGAGCCAGAGAGTTATTTCTCGTGGTGCATGGATCCAAGTTGTCGTTTCGAGCGCGAGTGGTTTGTGCGACACTTGCGATTTCTGCGACCATTTGGCTCTGTGACTTCAAGCAGATGTCGAGCAACTCGCACCAAGACCAACATAAGGTCAGCGCCTCCGCTCCAGCGGACTGGACGCTTTCTGGAGATGAAGCATCCTCCACTAGCTGCGGATCCAAGTCCTCACTTCTACATACGCGGCTGAGAGGCCTCTGGTGGCTGCCTGGACAGACTGGCGGCCTGGTGCTCACTGTGTCACTGTCATGTATGGGACGCACGAAGCGCAAACTGCGGAGGCCTCACGATGAGCATCCTGTGCAGCAAACATTGTCAAAGCATCTGCAGAGATCACATCGTGGGCAAGTCGGCCTTGATCTTCCTCAGAAGATCGCGCTTGACCTCTGCTTGCTCTGCACACGAGACACTAGTAAACCGGCATGGCTTCCAACTCGCAAGCAGAGCAATGCCAGCGGCTGCTAGCCCGATGCCTCTGCATGATCTCGTCGGTGCTTCTCTTGTTCCTGCCATGAATCACGACTCATGGTCAATGCTCTCGAGCGTTCGTGCTGCAGCAAAGCCGCTTTCTGCCGGTTTGCCACATTGCGCTGCAGAGCCTCGCGAGCTGCTGTTTGCTGCTGCTGTGGCGGGTTCGATCGGACAAGCTGCATCGCTACTGCTGTAGATCCGCACATCACTGCATCCACTTCTTGGGACGATGTCTCTAGATGTCGCTGAGAAGTGGGGCGATTACGTCGCAATTTGCATCCCAACATCAAAGGCAACAGTTATCGGCAGCACACGTCTACGCACAACGCAGGGCAGGTTGCTAATTTTGTAGCTCTTCAACGTGCTTTGCACACGAAACAAAGTTTAGCCTTCCACTGTGGTCATGAAAAACCCACTACTACTCACTGACTACCGACTACCGACTACCGACTACTCCTACTCCTACTCCTACTCCTCCTCCTCCTAGTACTACTACTACTGCTGCTGCTGCTGCTGCTGTCGCTACTACTACTACTACTACTACTACACCACTGCTGCTAATGAACGACTACCCTCCGACTGCTAATTGCTACCCTCCGACTGCTATTCAAACCACCACTACCTGCTGCGACTGCTGGAACTGCACCGGCGACTTATTCAGACCCCCAACTCCTGCAATGCAGTTCAAGCAATAGTTACATTGATTGTAATGTTTGCACCCAGCTGGGAGCCAGGCAGTGAGCTGTTTGACAGCCTCCTGGTATCGCATCTGCCACAAGTCTGCGTCATCCTTAGAGTTTGTTAGCGGTCTTCGAGCTTCGAAGATAGTGACTCCCGAAGGTCCAGGCTTCCACCCGTGCTGATGGCATGGTATCTGGCGTTGAGATACCCTGCACAGAGACTCAACACAGTCCACAGGAACTCGAGCGTGCGAGAAGGCCTCAGCATCGTCCACGTCGCTCGGTTGAAGTATGCTTTCGCCGTTGAAAATCCCCTGAGGATCCAAGATTGGCATGGAAAGCAACAAAAAGACTTCCTGAGGTTGAGCCTGGAGACACAAATCACCCTTGTAATTTGGGAACTCCGTGACCTGCAAAACTGGCATCTCCATGCACAATCTGTGTCTTTGCTGTTGGCCATTTCGGCTGCGACTTGCACTAAATCCCGACAGCAAGGCACCAAACCGGCCCAAGCCAAGGCACCCTATTGGGGCCACTCTCCCAATCCAATCCACCAGGCCTCGGCCCGGCTTTCGGCCCGGCTGGGCCCCAGTCGCTACGGAGTCTAGGATTCAGCGCTCTGAGACCGAGGCCGAACGCGGACAAATTTAAATTCCACGCGCTCGCAAGGGGAGATTGGAATTGGAGCCGGGGTCTCCTGCCGCGACTCCGCCACTCATGGCATCGCATTGCATTTCCTTCACAAGTGCATGTCTGAAGCCAGGCAGGCAGACCCAGGCACTTCCTCTCCATTCCAGCCTGGCGCAAAGGTGTCACTCTCCGCGTTGCTTGGATGGATTCAAGCCGGCTCTAATGTCCCAATGACGTTGATCGTGATATATCGTGATAGCGCATGTTCGTACCGTTCCCTTTCTATACCTACACCCTACACTGCCAACCCTCCGCTGGCTCTCGCACAAGTGCTGCACTTGCTGCAAGGCAGGACCCGAGAGAATATCCGGGACAAATCGCCAGAAGCACTGCACCCCAGAGCTGAGATTCCAGTCTGAGCGGGGAGCGCTTCAAAACGACGCCGTCTTCCAAAGCACTCCGCCCAGCAGTAAGGAAGGGACATCCAAATGCCTCGTGGGATCCGAGGACCTCATAGATGCTGACAACAGGACAAAAGACACCCAGAGTGATGAGGGCACCAGTGCCAGGAACGCTTCTGAGCCCCCTGCTGCAAACCGTTCTCCGGGGCCGGGAGCCTGCAGCTTCACATGGAGCCTGAGTAATGAAAGCGCGCAGCTCTAAACGGACAGCTTCTGGAAGAGTTCTGCTGGCAGTGTCACAAGATCTCGCAATCCTGCAGTCGGGATTCGGGATGTAGAGCCGAGACTGCTCTGAGCAGCTGGCTTCAGCCTTCTAGCCTCGCAGGTCAACGTCTCAAGACCGCGTGCACGCGGCTGTCGAAACAGGCACATCGCAAAGCTCTGCACGTATCGATCTTGAACCGGCGACATCTGCTCTGACTCTACCTCACCCGTGCAGACGCAAGCCCCGCTGCATGTCAGAGACGTGCTCGTTCGATGGACTTTCGGGGCTCTGACTTGGGCACGCATCCATGGCGGAGCTCGCACATGCGAAGAAACACCCTGAAGTTGCACCCAATCAGTACTTCGAACCCCCTGCGAGCTTCTAAGCCTCATGGCTGATCATGGCTTGCCGCCCCTCCTAATGACTTGACGATAAGACTGTATAGTTTTACAAGTAAGACAGAGCTCTCTACCTTCGCAAACTTGTCGCTGTACGGCGACTGGACATGCACTGCCCGTGGCCCAGCATTGGTCGTGCGCAAATTCCTGACGTGCCTGGCTGTTTCATGCACGCTTTGCTTGGGCAGGGCCCGTGTGGAATTCCCTGCGCAGCGATTCTACGTCATCTACCTAAACCTCAGGCTGAGACTCCAGACCTTCACATGAGAAACCTCCAGCTCCACATTCGGGAATAAAGCAAGATCAGCAAAGAACGAAACACTGCGACAGCTAGACCATCATACGAACCAGCGGCCTGGCGAATCCAGATTTTTCTCTCCAGCTTCTGACGGACTATTTTAATGGTCAGCAAACCATTTACTGGCAGCACCTGCTTCGCAGCACTGCCACTCATTGGCTCATTAGCTCATCCCGGCAAGTACGGCTATTGTGGCTCCCCACCGAGCCGGACCATGGCGTCCTGCCACAGCAGCACCCAGACTTTGATCATCACGGAACCATGGGTCCTCTTCGCTGAGGAACTTCTCGGGCAAATAAGCCAGTGCCATGAATGGCCACAGCGAGGTGTCAACCTGGTCTCCTGCAGAGAGGGACTGTCACTGAACCAGCTGACAGTGACACAAAACGTCGGGCCATCATGACTCCTGATGGGAAGATCACACCATGCCTAAATTCCGCGACTTGGTCTCCTTGTGCGAAGTCCTTGCCTCTTCGAGCCACGACCTGTTGCATGAGAGGAGGGCAGCGAGTCTCTCAAACACCTGACCTTCAGCGCCTCATCCCGCAGCTCCTGCCAAGTCATCTCACCACCTGCTTCCGTAAGTGCCACCTGTCCAAAGTTGAACCCACTCTGTCCACTCTCACAGTTTGTTTACCGGAGTATGCCGCGGTTGCTGAGCAGCATGCACAATGCAGACCGGCTTATGAGCTGCGACACTGTGGCAACGAGGCGAGCAAGTGCAGCCTCTGCGTGCCTGCGCCAAATGTCAGCATCGGCCTCTGTTCTCAGTCAGGTGCAGACTCGAAAGCCAAGAAGGTCATCGCCCTTCAGAAATGCTGTAGCCAAGATAAATTCCGCAAGACGCGACGTGCTCCGCGTTTGGAGAGACAAGCACTCACAATCTACGTAACTTGGCCGTTTACACGGGCTCGGCTTACATTAAAGTGTAAGACTCACGACTAAGCAGCACTGCACAGCCCTGCACAGTCTGCTGCGGACTGGCGGCCTTGGCTTCTCCCAAGACTGGGCCCCGGGTAAATCGCTTGTACAACGGATCGCTTCCTGCGGGCTCCTGCGCCGGAAGAGCGCGGAAAGCACACAAGCAGTCAGTCTGCAAAGCCAGGTCTGAGCTGGTGGCCCATTTTGTCTTTGCTGAAAGAAAGAAGCCCTGTCCTGGCAGGACGTCACCATTTCATCTGCAGATCATCTGCATGAGTTATCAAAATCTTGCCGGAGTTACCCCAGGGAGTCTGCTGTGCACCTTTGACACGCCCTAAACCTCCACGCACTCCACGGGCCTCCGGCATCCACAAAGCTGCTACAGCAAGCCGTGCTTACAAGGACACAAACTAGACTGGAATGCCAGCGGCAACCTTGTGCAATTGAAACTGAGGTTGAGGTTGTCTGAAATGAAGCTGCATAGAAGCAAGCTCATCTTATGACAGCTGCATCTTGAGCGAGGGCGAAGTATTTTCAGAGCACCTCTTTGCTTTCTTCCAGCCGGTCGTTCAAGGCCACCAAGTCATCATCTGCTGCCTCAGCACAGACAAAGCTCGAAGAGCCGACAGATCACATCTGCACATGAAATCTCTGGGTCCCTCTCTGCCATGCGCGCGGCAAGACGGCAAGGGCTGACACAGCAGAATTGTCTACAGTGTACCAGCGATTCATGCTGTCCCTGGGCTCACCAGGCTCCCACGGTCACAGTACCGATCTGCGGGACAAACTTCAGGGATCTTGACAAGCACTACTTAGACTTCCGACCTCAAACCTGTGGGCCGCCAGAAGGCAAGGAAGTGGTCGACAGGCCCAGCTGAATGCAGATGCAGCCCTGCAAAACGCACCAAGTGGCAGAAGAGCGCTGGGGTTTGCACAGGACAAAGCGATGAGAAGCTTGTACACTTGTACACGCTTGCCTACGGCCGGTACACCGAGCTCACTTTGGGCTGACACCGGGCTGGGCCACTGGGGCTGGAATTCGCACATGCCCAACACAGCCCTGCCATTTTGCAAGGCCGTGTTTATGAGGCTTCGTGCTTCGCTTCTGTCCGGATCAAGTGAAAACATCGGGAAGATTCTCCTCAGTCGCCTTAATCTGTGAGACCCGGCGCTCCACAAAGGCCGCAATGGAATGCAACGGGCACAAATGAGGCAACGAGCCTACCCTCTCCAGAGGTACCGACATGTGCTAGCAAAACATGATCTTCAGCTGCTGGCGACGCCATGCCCGACAAAACCACTCCAACGAAGCTTACAGGAATCGGCCGCAACTGAGACGGCAACCACACCTACTGGCTTTGAACGGGCAGGCCTCGGGACGTGGCCATTGCAAGAGAAAAATAGTTCTGGGCACGTCTGACGCACGAGGCTCACAAGGCTCTAACCATGGAAATGTTGCACAGGCATGCGCTGCTCGCCCCACGTTCTGGCCAAGACGAAGCAGAAGCCGAATCCGAGCAATTCAAGTCGTGTTCCGTCTGCGTGGCCACATCACGCAACCTTTGAGGTCTCACTAACTGTGACATGTAGGCCTTGTTAGACATGTGTGCCTCCGCACATCGCGATGGGCAATTAGCATCTTTCGATCTTGATGCCTGGATGGCTCTGCAATGGATGCTTCGGACTACAGCAGCAACACGCACCAACGTTCAACATGGCTCAGATTCGCGCACAGATAGCTGCACACGGGGTCACTGTGGTTGAACCTTATGATAGCCGTGGGTCTATTGGACTTTTTTCGGCTTCGGGCTTCGAGATGTCAACTTGAAACTGATCTTGAACGGTGCCACGGCCATGCAAGAATCTTCTACAACTTAATCCCGCGAAACACCATGCTGAGAATCAGACATATCATCTCCGTGCTCGAATGCGGATTTGACCTGCATGCTGTATTACACGGGTTCTAGAATCTAGAAATACAGAGATTATGCTGATGATGATCCTGACGATGTTGGTGATGATGATGATGATGGGAGGAGGACGAGGAGAAGGAGGAGGAGGATGAGAAGGATGAGGAAGAGGAGGGTGGTGGAGGTGAGGACACCGGCATCGGCTCAAGTAGTGCTCAAACGATGATAGGCTTCAGGATCATGATCATGAAGATGATTGTGACAACGATGACGATCTTGATGACAGTGAGCGGTATGATGGTAAGGGTCGCTGGTGGTAGGTGCGGGGAGTGGTGGCCGTGGTGGGGCTACAGTGTGTGGCAATGTAGTTTGTCAGCGCAGATGTAAGTCCGGGGCCGTGTCAGCGACTCGCAGTTTTCAGCCCACTTTTTGCCTGCCTTTGCCCGGACATGTAGTCAAATCTGCAAGACACCAGCAAGTCCACACAGCAACACACCTCGGTTGCCCATTGCTCGGCGGCGGCCCTGACACTGGTTGAGCAAAATCACCTAAATCGACAGCCCGGATATCTGAGCTCTGCTCCATTTCGTCAGCGCAGACCCTCCAATGGAGCATCGGACACGTCGACATTCCAAACACCTGGCTGCAAACTGGACACGCGTGATGAACACACTGATGTACCCTCGCCTGCACTTAAACGTGCAAATGTGTTTTCGCGCTAGGGCGCCAATCATGTCAGCTGCACACCTTCGTGACCGGCCCTGACCGGGAACGATCTTCTGTTTATGCTCAATCACTCCCAAAAGCCACACACGAACGAACTTGGTGCGCAACCGTATGGGCAAGGGCAGTTCTGGTCCCGGGTTGATGGCCCCTGTCCCAAAGCCTGCACTGCACTGCAGTTCAACGTTGGAAAAAACTCACTCGTGCCTTTCCTACATAACGGTGCAACGGCGACGACGGCGAAACTCCGTGGCATGGCCCCGCAGATGTCGTTAGAGTGGGAATGGAAGTAGGCTCAGTGCCAGAAACGAGAGTTTCCGGGGAGGATGCCCACATACTAAACTCCTACTCGTCCCCACGCCAACTCAGCTCCGGCTGCTACAGCACTGCTCTAAGGCCGTGCCGGCACTTCCGCATGGCCACAAACTCCGTATGCAGCAAATTGCCTCTTCCGCCCTGCATTTTAATCAGGCTTTACTAAGGAGATCGCATCACCGGCTGAAGCCTAAACATACACCTGGTTCAACAAAGACAAATATTCCAAGCAAATATAATACTATGGCAGAATCTTGAGCCGTTTGAGGTCTGTGATTAACAGGTCATTCCGGGGTCTGCGCCTGACGGACTGTCAAAGAGTTCAGCATGTGCAAGGCCTGTTTCCTGCCGCTCTGTCCCGCAACGTCTCATGATGATCTTGCACCAACAGGGCCGCAAGTTTTCTGGACAATTTTTGCCTTTCCGAAATTGCGTTTTTCCCTTTGAATACCAACTGCAATACCGCCCGGTCACAGCAATTCTTGTCCGGAAGAGCTTGTGAAGCATGCCAGATAAAGAGAAGACAGAGAGACTGATATCCCACCGCCTGAAGGCGCTGGGCCAGGAGTGCTCCGGTTCTTTTTGGCTCTATACAATCGAAGCTACACACAACCGGAGGAGTTCTTTTTTGCGACGGCCTGGTCCGTCAGGAGAAACACCACGATTGCCCACGCCTCGGAAAAGCACCACAGCGAAAGTAACAGCTTTGCATCGGCGGCGCTGAGTCGGCAACTCGGCTTGCCATAAGCAAAGGAACTTTGCAATTCCGGCTTGCTTGTACTGACTTGCTTCGCTTATGCTTACATCAGCCTCTTCAGCTGCGAGCAGGCGGCCAAGGTCAATGCACACGGCCCTCAAAAGAGGTCTGCATGCACCGCTGCCGAGCTGGGATCATCAAGCACGATGCTGTGGCTTTGTTCAGCGCGGTCGTACGCGCTCATGCTGTGAACATGCACGTCCTCAGGAGGGCATGTTCTTGATGCCGACTACGTGCCGGTGACACTGAGAGAACGTGAAACATGTGTCGAGATAAAGTGGGAGCCTTCGCTACTGCCAGCTCAAGCCTGCATGTCGTGTCAGGAGAGGTGGAGGCACAAGAGCGTCAGAATGATCCAAGCCTGGCCAGGACTTGCCGGTCGGAGTGCTTCAAAACTTCCTTGCACGCCCGACCCATGCACATTCCTCAGGAGCCGAAATCATGCGACTGCGGCCATTCCAAGCTGGGATGCGCCGTTGCAGTCGACGTCGCAGTCGATGACTGTAGCCTGCACAAGAGCGCAGACTGGTCGCGTCATCTTACCACACTTTGTGCTGAATGTGCTAAGCACGGCATGAGGGTCAGGAACAAGCCTGGGCATCCATCCCATCCGCTCCAATGACTCCGGAATCCTCTTGTCGATCACGGTTTGAGTTTCATGTCCGGCACCCCCTTAAGTGACTTGATGTGACATGTGCATCTCCTTGATGGTGGTGAGGTCCCTGCAGCTCTCGCTCTCTGCCGTACCGAACCCAGTGCCAGACTGAGCCGCACCTACAATGGCCTCCGACGACTGCCAGGCAGTCGTCCGACCACTGCCTCAGTCGGCAGACTTCAAATAGATTCTCCAAAGAGCCTTACAACCTCGTGGTCTGGGATCACGGACTTTGCGCAGTACACCTTCAAGAGCAGCTCAAGCTCATTGCATGTAAACAGGCATGGAAGGTCTCATCGTCTCTGCAGGTATTCCCACACTCTGACTTCTCTTTGCCTCGCACTTGATCTGCTCGCATGGAGTCAGTTTTTTGCCGCGCGAGGGCTCCTCAGCCTGTGCATGAAGAATGCACGAAGCCCTCAACATTTCTGAGCTGCATGCTGCGACACTCTGGAAAGGACAATCAGTGTGAAAGCTGTGGAGGTGATGATTCGAGAGATTGCAGCCATGTAGAACTAGGATGAAAAAGGAAAGTCGTGTGACCTCTTGGCTTCATTGCGCGTGCGTCACGCGGCCCAAATAAGTCACACCTGGCCATCCTTTGGATATCGGAAGATCGGCTTTGCAGATCTTGGTGCTAGGTGCGTAATGCCAAGATGGGCTGTTTCCGAATGTATCCCAAGGTCACGAACTATGACGCGGCAACGCACGGGGCACTGCCTCCCGAATTCAATAGCCCTAGGACGCGCGGGCCTTGCAGCTTCGGATACATCGCTGAACAAACTCCTGCAGGTACAGCTACACTTTCATACCACGAGCTGATCTTTGATTGCCTGCTCATGCAGCGCGACTGGAGCTGTGTTGGTGATGTCAGTACTGGCATGCTGCTCCTCGTTGCAGACGTCAGAATAGGATTCCACACATCTGTCACGGCGAAAGCTCGCCTGTCGCAATGCCGCCGAAGATCCACGCGCTAGCCCTCTCTCTGTCTCTCTACCAGGCTTGAGGCTCAGGGTAGGTCGGACCTCTCTCTCTCGCTTCTTCTTCAGCACAGACAAGGGAAAGCGCAGCAGCACTCTCTCGCTCTCTCTCTCTCTCTGTCTCTCGCTCTCCTGGGCGTGGGAGGCGTCCCCTGACGTGCCAACGGCCCACCCAAGTTGATGGGCTGGCTCTGTATATCTCTGTATGCAGCCGTGAAGCACAACACAAGCTAATGCGGATCAGGATCGCTAGGAGTCACATGAGTAAAAAATACATGACATGCCTGCGAAACTGAACATGACTGCAAGATGGTGATACGGTAACTTCCGCGTCCCGCCTGGCTCTCTCTGTTTGTTTCCCTCTCTTTTTACTCGGATGTCTTTTCAACTGTGCAGCTGCCTGCATCCCTGCGGCGCATGACTCACAGTCAGCTATCCGAGTCGATCCGGCGTTGGAGACCTGAGAGGCAAAGGCCGCACGGGACCCGCTCCGCTGCGAGAGGAAGACTCGGGAAGGCGGCACGAGGTCCTTCTCGATTGGCTTGCGTGTTGTCTGGACACCTTAGCTCAGCTTCCCTTGGGAACAAAATATTCCGAAGTCCCAAAGTGCCAAGCTGTGCGAAGGTGTCACATCCGTCGCAGTAGTCGCCAGGTTCGCAAAGGATGCACTCGTAGATGCCGCGCCACGACAGCTGATCAGCAGCAGTCAGATCTTACGCAACAAACACCAGAATCGGAACCTTCTGAGGAGGTCGGACCTAGGACTTGCTGTCCTTGTGCTTCCCTTAGCCGTGCCTCTGTAAAAACTACAATGCGTTGGCCTGTTCGCCCGTACAACAAACGTTGAAAAAGATGTCCAGGGGCTGGTGAAATTTCGATTTCAACAACATCATGTAATTGAAGATGATGCATCGGGGAGTCCTATGTTTCCTTCGGCCCAGAGGCAAAAGGCGGCAAAAGCAGCGCCTCAACTTGTTAGTTTTCTGCTTCTCCTCCTGAAGTTTTCCCTCAAGCCCGTGGCCCCGATTTTTTACCGAACTCATCTTGGTGCGAGAATGGGAGAGACATGAAAGGACGCTCATGTCACACAAAGCCTGACAGGAGCTTGGCCTGCAGGTCTTTCTTCAGCCCATAGCACGGTGCTTCATAGCATGTCGCGCAACACCTGCACATGTGTCCATGCGTCCGCGGTGGGACTTCGTGCATGACCTTGCCTGAAGTATCCAGGCGGGCAGACGGGCTCGTAGCAAATGTCGCTACCATAGATTGGGTCCTGCAACAGCAACAGCTCAATCCGGCATAGTTCAACACAGCCCACCAGCCCACTGTCCGGACAGGCACACGGCTGCGAATCCGTTGGTCGCGGTGCTGCAGGCACAACTGTTCCTGAAAGTCTTGCAGGTTTCTGTGAACCGAGCACTGCAACCGGCTCCTTAACAGTACTGTGTGTCTGTTCAGATGCGCCTATGACAGGCTGGATCAGGTGGATTGCGGCAAGCGCTGCTAAACCATTCCACGCAAATGCGCTTCGGCCCGCTTCTCCACATCTGTCGCGAGTGGCCATCGCTCTGACAGAGCGGCCTCAGTCGTTCGCAGCTTAAGCACTCAAACTTCAGCACATGTAGCAGCACATCCGTTCCGTTTGCTTTCGCTTTCGTCTGCAGGCGAGGACTCCTGACACTCTGGGAGATGCACCCTCTGTGGCCATCACATTGTCACCAGACCCTTGCACTCCATCTCTGCATCTTCGAGCCAAAAGGAAGCATCCATCTGTTTTTCGTGTGAAGCTGGTCAAGTTCTGAATGGCTTCATGCTGATCTCGCGGTGCCGCACAGTTTCTCGCTCAGGGAAACAAGGCTCAGCCCCAGGAATCCCAGTCTTCGGCTGGCTTTGGCCGCTTGGACGACTCCTGAAAACTGGAATCATGGCGGAGGCAGCTTTGGGCGAAGGCTGGCTTGCAAGCAAGACGCATCCGCCGTCCCGTAGACTGGGGCGAGCCTGAATTTCTCGGGTTGCTTGCTTTCTGGCTGTGGCTGGATTCGAAATTGATTGAGATGAGCTGCTGCTGATACAGCCGCAGTGCCACCCAAACATCCATTGCGGCATATTCTACCTGCACGACAGCCGACACAAACAGGCTCCAGGAAGAACAGTGCAAGGCATCGAGGCAGAGGCCTGAGCAGATGTAAGCTCTTGCCGGTTCCAGTTTGATGACCTCATGGATTCTGGCAGTACGGCAGTACTCAACCTCTATACTGTTTCTACAATAGTATAGGACAGGACCGGTAAGAAGCACTAGAGACCAGCTTAGGCTGCAGCGCAATCGTGTTGCTCTTGTCCATGTCCTGTTGCAGGCCAGATGTTGGGGGCCAAGTCGGACACGCTCTACAATCGAAAACAGGCCAGGCTTGCGAAATCCAGCACGCAGCAAGCGGCCCGCTTGAGGCCTCAGCGCAGAGAGCCGAGTGCAGCGGAGAGCAGCGGGCAGGTTCTGCCAGGGTTACCTCGGCCCGGCACCCACTCGCCAGCCTTGTCGGACGCTGGCGTTCTCCCCCATCTCGGCTTCGCACCAGGGCTGCACCTGAGAGACTTCGAACGATTTCGAACGTCCTGAGTAGTCGCTGACTTAGCCGCTCACAAGTACTCTCGAGGCTCTGACATCGATGAACGTGTCCTCGTCGACCTTCCGTCAGAGCTGGACATGCATTTCTCAGGCAACAGGGGTGCCCCATTTTGGGGGTGCCATAGGTTTTTTGGGCCGGACCTCCAGTTTCCAATGTGCTACGGCGCGGATCGAACTCATCCTGCGCCCTGAACTCGAAACCAAAGGACGCCGTGACGCCCTCCCTCCGTCCCTTCTGTCCCTACCGCCCGTACAAGGGGGCTGGATAGTGCACAAGCCGAGGGACAAGGTCAGGCATGGACGGACGGACCCATGCTCGTTCAAAGGACGGGCTGCCCACAAACTGTCTCAATACAGAGTAACCTGCAGTGGACCAGCAGCAACACATGGACACGAATAACAACACAGCAGAAAGAAACACCAAAACCCACTTGTTCTTCAAGGGCTTGAAGGGCTCGTCAACATGAAAGACTGTCTCTCTGTCTCTCCTCTTACCTCAAGAAAGAAAGGGTTGCCGTTGCCCAAAAGTTCAGCTCTGTGGGTTGTTATCTTACACGAAAAATTCTAAACTCGCGTGAAACAGCACGGACGCCAAGCTGGCCAAGCTTGGTATCCCATGCATCTGGGCAGCTTCGTGGGATGGGATTCCCAGATGCACGTCCCATCCCCTGCTGGCTTTACAATCGGATTGGTTTGTGAATCAGAAACTCTTAGGTACAGCGATTCCCACACACATGCAGACCTGTCATCCTTACTTAGATGGATGCTGTTTGTGCTAGAGTGTTACATCGCTGGTATGTTATCACGGCTAACTGGTTGGCCCAGGCCGTCCAGTTTGCCCCCTGGCCCCCTGCTTCTTGTTGGTTGGATCTTACGTCTTAAATCCTTTGGTACAGGAGGTGTGCACACACACACACATACCAGCACTTTCGTTCTTCCTTTCCTTCCTTCCTTCCTTCCTTCCTTCCTTTCTACGAGGCTCGAAAAGGGCAAGCCGAGCCGATGCTCTCCCTTTCATTCCGTCCTCTCTTTGGTAGAAGCCCCTTGCCTGCACTCCGGAGATCTCCAGCTTGTGCTTGTCCATCGCATTGGCGGCAAAGCCGACGGCCAACACGGCGGGGCCTCAACATTTTCTGGTCAGAGGTAACAAAAATGCCGTGGCGCTGCTCTGGGAACTCCGCTCTGAAAGAGATGCTTCGCTCTGCTCGGAAAGCTCCCGAGAAGCGGAAGCTGCAAGACATAAGTATTACCTCCGTTGCGACAGGATCATCAGCTTTCCGGGTTTGCCAACTCTGAGTGGCCAACCAGAGCTCGGAAATGCCAGCTGCAGAAGTGCCTGAAATACGCTTGCGCCCGGCAGTGTGCTGAGATTACCTGCCTGATCGCATGCCTAGATCGACCCCATCAAGTTCACAAGCAAACTGAAGTAATTCGCAGTCTGCTCCGGATTTGGGCAGCTGTATGCCCAGCAGAGTCAAGCTGAGTCGCTACTGGATTGTCACTGCCTTCCTCGAAGTCCGGAGTCCACTGAATGTCATACGCCACCTCGGCGCCAGCTTTCATCTTCCATCGCAGCTACAGCTCTGGAGGGAAAAGGAGCTCCCTGCATCTCCTTGACTCCTTGGGCTTCAGCTAGCCATGCCTCGGCAGCTTCCGCCAAGAACTCCTTGTAGTGCCTCGCAGCGACAGCACCAAGCCTGGACCGTTATACAGAGTTTTGCCTACACTAAACCCCGCAACACCGCAGCATCAAGTGCGAAATAAGACACGGAGAGGTAGGACTGGTCACGAGCTTTACGGCGTTCCTTACTTCAGGCTGGAACGCCTCGTCCACTCAGACTCTAGGCCCTAGGCACGAGCCGAGCATCGGATACTCCTCCAGCTCCGGACCTTGCAGCCACTCCTGCAAGCCTCGACAGAAAGATACGTCGATTTCTCTCACGACTTCACCCGGCCGAGGGCCACGCTGGGCGCAGGCGGTGCTCTCTTCGCACGGTGCATAGTCACACGATGTCACACGTTACCATTCAAGCGAATCCATCGAGGGATGTTCGTCTTGCACGCGAGAGGGAGCATCCCGAAACTTTGAGCAGCATATCACTATTCGGGGGTACTCTCCGACACATGTCAACCCTCAAGTGCGGCCGAACCGTCGAAAACTCAAAGCCTGAAGCAAAGATGACCAGAAGCTTGCCTTTTCACATGAATGTGTGAGCGACGCTCGGCATGGAAGGGCTGCGGCGAAAGTTGTCGAAAGCACTCATCTCGTTGCAGTGTACCCGAGCTGCCGAGAGCCGCTTTTTGTCAACCGCGTCTCTTCATCCGCTTTCGCCGCTCCTTCCGGCCCACTGGGCCTCGGCTCAAAAGCCTCTAAGGGCTCTCTCAGATCTGAGGTTCTCTGCTGGGCTCCGGGCGCTTGCCTTGCTTGGAGCCCTGTGATGCCGAGCCGAAAACGAAGCTTCAGGACCCCCAAACGTGCATGAAAGGGCCTTGGCCCGCTTGCTCTTCTTCTTGGGGCCCTGGTTCTTGGTGTTGAGCTTCTTCCTCCGGCAGACGAGAAGCTTGGTTTTGTGCGCACTCTGTGCTGATGAAGTCCAAGCAGCGACACGGTCTTGTCCAGAGCTGTCTGACGGCGACTCTCCTCTTTCTCGCTTGAGATGAATCGCCTTGAGAACACGAAAATGCACCATCGGAACATCTCACGGTTTCGTATGACTAAGTATCCCGAGCCGCCTCTTCGATCTGGCCTGCGGGTCCTCCTCGGTCTCAGAAGCTGATGAAGCGTGAAATGCTCCGTTGGCGGAGGCATGGCAGGACAGCTCCGGTCCTGTGGGATACCTGTCAAGTCCCGGAGGAGCCCGGCCTGTCCTGGGGCTCTGTGCAAGCACCCGCATGGAAGCGCAGAGTCTGTAGCCTTTGCTTTCTCTGCCGCCTCCAAGAACGGAAATTGCGTTGCCACTCTTCCCAACCAAGGCCAGAGGAAGGTGCCTGAGCGGAATGACCCCCTGCCAGAAGTGAAAACATTTCAAGCCTCGAGGCCGTTGCCGACCAGCCCCATCAGACACCTGTAGCAACTGAACTCTCAGTCTGGAAGCACGGAAATCATGCCACAGGGACTCAGAAGAAGCTTAAGCACTCTGCTCCCGCGATGGTAGTTGTAACTTCGCAGTCTCCAAAGGGATCGTCTTCCTTAAAGGGAACAGAAAGGATGTTCGGCGACACTCTCTGTCTGCAGGCCTCTGCTTCGAATGCAACAGTTACGGGAACCTGCCGCTTGCCGTGTTGCATTTCTGGTCGCAGAGTGCCGCAAGTCCCCTGAGCGCCTCCTCGTCTTTGAGCTTTTCAGAACGGAGGTCTCCCAGCCAGCCAACCTCCTGAAACAGAAGACTCACAAGACATTGGTGAGGCCCCTGAGGCTTAAGCCTGGAGCCTTGATGAGCCTTGATCTGTTCGGGCTCCAGTCCTCTGCCGGGCCCAGGAGCGCCTCCACCCGCTTTTCCGCCCGCTGGAGGTCCTCTGATGCTTGAAAAAGCTGCAAAGTTGCCCTCAGCCGCCCTCATCCTGTCTCTTCTGTGACGTCCTTCCAGCGTTGCTTCACGTCCTGCCTGTGGTCCTTCTTCGCTTCAATGCGGTCCTGCAACCGAGATGGAGACACCAGCTCAGGTGACCAAGAGTCGACAATGCATGGCTTGTAGAACGTCCTGCCGCTCTTTCTCAAGTATCTCACGCACGGCCCACTTCCGGCGATCCTGATGATCGATGGCAGCCGGACACCCGTTCACATGTGCTAGCTGCCGGGGCTGATGGAAACCCTCAGCCCTCAAAAGCCTTGTGTACCCTCCCGTGCACATCGACAGCGGCACGATGCAACTGGCATCATGCGTCAAGATTGCGACAAATGTCGATGGTATGGGCTGTGGGCATGAAGCTGACAGCACCAGCAGTTTCATGCGGGTCCTGCTTCCTCTTGCGAAAACCGGCGAGGAAAGACTGCCTGCAAATCCGATCAATTGGTGGTTGCAACAGTATAAGAAGGCGGCGAGAGACGCGCCTGCTTGCCGGGTCGAACGTCAACACCTGATCGGAGTCGCGCTTCGCGCGCCTGTCGTGCATCGAGGACACATCTACAGTCCCATAACAGCACATGCCGAAACGCCGAGTCTCTAGCCTCTGCTTCACCATGTCCTGTCTAGGGCGACAGTGAGCTACACACCGCTCATGCTGTCACAGCTGCGAAGCAAGGCCTCAGCACACACTCTTAGCCCGGCCAAGGTGCGCCATGGCTCTCTCCAGCTGTCAACCACACTTTGGTAAAATGAAATTTCAGCGGACACCGCGAGTTTTCTCTCCAATTCCCCTACTAGTGCTCACGAGCACCTCTGTGCACATACTGCTGTTCTGTTCAGATCACCGAGCTGCAGACCTCGTGCCGTCATGGGACAACGGCTGTACTTGAGCTAGCTACTTCTGCCGCATCCGGCAGCGTTGAAAGGAGGCGCTGTCTCTTCGTCGTTCTCGGACGTGGGCCACTCATGCGAGAAAAACAAAGCCAGCACCATGCACTTGACGAAGCTGAACAACACTTTTCTATGGTAGCTGAATCATCATCTCCGCGGCGAGCGCTGCGAAAGGGCTTGACCCTAGCAATGCAAGGGACTGTGGGACATGACGGTGCAGAATTCCATGTCTTCAGCAGCTTGTCGAGTCTGTCCCACATTCCGGATGCACTTGGGATCCGACTGCTGTCATTTCTGCGCAGTCTGGCTCCAAAGTCTACTGTCAGTCGGAAGACACATATTAAAGGCGGTGAGGGGCAGCGCTGCAGCCCTCACAAGCTATGAAGTTCTTCACCTGGGTAGTCCAGCAGGACACCCGACGCCACAGTTCACGACGGAAGCTAAGGCAAGCGCATAAGCACAGGGGTGGCCTGCATCCAGTTGATGCTGCGGATTCCTCAGCAATCGTGCCCTAGCCAGGTACTCGCCATTCCGTCTGAGATCTGCCTCAGAGCAGGGCCTCTGCATGTAAAGAAATCGACTTTGATGCTGGAGCCCTGAGTAAATGCTATGCTAATGTGAGGAGCATGCAATGCTCAGACCAAGTACATCCGGTACGGGGTCTCTGCTGGAATTCCTTCGGCGAGCCAAGTGTTCTTGGCGTTCCTCTGATCATCTTTCGAAGGCCCCTGATGCATGCAAGTATTGAACACGAAACTGCACATGGGGACAGAGTCTGCACCCTCAAGCTGGCGCAAAGGCACATGAATGGGCGTCAGCTTTTGAGAGCACTTGTCCATGTCAGGATAGATGACCTGTTGGAGCTGAAGCAGTGATTCACCTCCAAAACTCGCAGGATGCATGACGGATGTTGCCTCGTCTTCGTTCCCATTCCTCAAGATGCGGAATTCCACCTGTCCACTGCTCGGGACCTTGACCTCAGCTACGTGGATGGTCAAAAAACTTGTCATTTTCCAACCGAGGGCCAACCGTTAGGGTCCAGAGACCCGGAACTGGTCCGTCCTGGCAGCTTAACCCTAGACTGATCTAGATGCCGCTGCAGTCTTCAATAGTATTCAATAGCTTAGAGTCTTTGACTCGTACCAATGAATGGGAGGATCTCTGTCCTCCATCTGCTCAAGATCCCATTCATTGAAAGGTCCTCTGAATCCACTCACGAACTTGCTTGGATGGGCTCAAGAGTTCAAGAAGCGAAGCAAGATGTGCCTGTGAGGCAGTAGACCTCATCCTCACCCTCGTCGTGCTCAACCCCGGTGTCCTGCAGGGCAAAGAGCCGATCTCCAATACAGCCAAGCAGAATTGCGAGAAGCCGCGCCTCCTTGAACCACCGCTGCGGAGCGTTGGGTGGATCGTCAGGATTCATTTCGATGGAGTACTTGTCACCTGGGAGAATCACCTTGCAGGCCGCACTCACCTTCGGAGGGGCATCAGGTGTCAGCCGGCATGTCTGGCCTGGTCCGGACCGTCCCAATCCCACAAAGCAGGGTCACTGCCTGAGTATGGAAAGCCCTGCATGCCGCACAGTGCTCATGTTTGCTTCGCAACTGAACTTCGAGTCTCAGGGACAAGCCATTGACCCTCACTTCTGGTGGCGACATGCTCCTCCCGGTAAACCCAATCTCGGATTAACGGCTGGAGCGAGTAGCACTGCCCTATGCACAGTCCAGATGCGCTTCTGGTAGAGCTCTGCATTGCTTGGTGCCTCGTGTCTTGAGACCGACCACCCTGACACTTCCCTCTAAGGGAAAGCTATATATCCATTTAAAGCTCGAGGAACCCTGAGGAACGCTGATGGGATTGCTCGAGCGAGGTTGGATGTTCGGATGTGTTCTCCATCTCTTTCAAAAATGACTCTGCGCCTCCTGCTTCAGAGTACCGTACATTGCGTGGTGCACGGTAGCTAGCCCTGCAGTAGGATGCCGAGAGGCATGGTAAACGTTCTCTCCCCAGAAGATGGCGTGGGCATTTGTGCCACCTTGCGTGCTACAGACTGCAAGGGGCTAGGCGGAACCTCAGAACCGCATCTGTCTGTGCGACCGAAGCCGAAGGAGGAGACGTGCACGTTGCCCTGCGGATGTGGGTAGATGCGCCAGGCCATACAAATGCAAAGCCTGCCTGCGAGTACTGATAGGAGTTCAACTCGCTGTTGAACACTGCGTTGAAATTGGTCTGGTCCAGGTGCCTTAGCAGTATTTTCATGAAGCTATGGATCTAAGCGACACGCATCGACCGTCCAGCTGTTCTGGGATCCGCAACGGATTCAGCTGACGTAAGTGGCAGCAGGGTATCGCAGACGAAGCCTTCACCTAGAGCATGCATGGGACTACTAAGCTGGACTCCGCATGGAGGCAGGCAATGAGAAAAAAAAACAACCCAGATTCTCGTTCCTGAAGCGAACAGTCCTGCCTGGAATACTGCTGCCAGCAAAGAGGTCATGGCAGCTCCACCTGCACTTGACAGAACCACTGGAACGAGCACAGCCATGACAGCCTCCCGTAGCGCAACGAAAGAGCCTTCCAAATGCCCAGTCTGTGACTTGTTCGTGACGACAAGTAGTGTTGTGTCGCGCTGCTCCTGCACATGTCCAATAGGCACAAAGGGCTGCACGCGGCCTGCAGCCTCACATGGCACCCGTTGCCGACCTTGTTCTGGATCTTGCGAACTGCGCCAACTTCGATGGGATCGCCTCGTCAGTCAGGCTCTACGTGTGCCCGAGGCCTGCAAGCTGTGAAGCTGCCTAGCGAGGTGCCCGTTCCATGGCAGCTCCAGACACAGGACCTCAGACTGACTCTATAGCGCAGTGAGGCCGAGAGATTTTCACTTCTCGCGCGTGTTGGGAGGCAGACTCAGTCGGAGAGATCTTGGCCTTGAAGAGTCAGTCTTAGACTTGGCAAAGACACGGCTACAGAGGCCCTACGGGTACAAAACAGGCAGCCTCTCGGATGGCTTTCCAGATAACCTCTTCTTGCGAGATGCCTGGCAGTCCAGCGGGCACAGGAGCGCAGGCTACGAGTAGGTCCAGCCGGGGAAGCCATTCGGGGCTGTGAGAGTAGCTGACTTGCCGTTTTGGCCGACCTGACCAGAGGACAAGAAAACCGCGGCCGTGAGCCGTGAGGCGTCTCTGGGGCCGTGGCCATGGAGCCGCGCCAGATGGCATCGCGCTCGTCTGGCAAGTCGCCGGGCTTGAGCGTCAGCCCGGAGCCTCGCAGAAGTTGGCGAGAGTTCTCACAGCAAAACCGCCCCTCCCAGCCAGAGAGGCCCCCGGCAGCCATCACCACGCATGTAGCCACCAGCTGTGGCGTTGAACGTACGGCATCGCGCCTGCAGGTGTGCTGCTTCCAGTCTAGACCATTCGCCTACTCGAGTGACGCTATATGCCTATGTAGATCCACATTGAGTCAGGCAGGCGGTGAGTAGCCGAGTTGCGGAGGTCATGTGGGTTTGCGAGCTGCCCACGAAAGGGAATGGCCTGGCTGGCCAAGCTTCAACGCATCAATACGGCAACTCGGCTGCATTGCCCTCTGCTAACCTGCACGGTAAGGCCGCCGCGACAAGCACTGATGAATACCAAGAGCGACATGGAACTCAATCTTGTCTATCCTGGACACCCGTTGCACACGCCCGCACAGGTCACTACTTTGACATTCACCTAAATTCTAGACCTGACCTTTGCATCAAGCACGGTACTGCGAGACAGACTGGGATGCGTGCGTCTGATCCCTGAGCATGAACTTGGCCTCAATTCAGGCTCGCCGCACAAGCAAAGACTGTAGTAATAGTTGAAGATGCCACCATTGCAGCATCGCTCACTCACATCTTGGCACCAAAGTAAGCCGTAGACCAGATGCGTGGCTGTGAGTGAAGCCGAGCAAGCGGTGTCAGCAACATAATTCGGACCTCTATACAGACTATACACTTGACTCTTCGGCAAAGGCCCCCTTTCAGTGCCGCAGGAATGCCAAAAGAGGTGGGCCTTTGAGGTTAAAGATGAAGCTGAAGCGGTTTGCAATGATGGCTTGGACGTTCGCCGAGCCTTGCCTGGCTTGTGTCAGCTCGAAACCGCTATTGATGCTGCTTTCGTTTAAGGCTGGCACAGTTCAGGAGTCTTGGGGAGTGAGTCGTAGTCATCCTGGATTCTCCGATAACTCTGGGCATCTTCCCGAAGGCACTTCGGGATTGTTGCACTGCTTCGGAGTCCTTGTCCAGGCCAACAGACACGCCTGCGTGATGCGGAGTTCCTGGCATGTGCCAACCCAGACACTGTCTCGGCCTAACTTCCTCGGTGGCCACACTCTGCGCGAAGGGTTCAACTCAGCCAGGAAAGCGGCTTGCAATATCTTTCGTGATCCTGCCGAACCAGGAAAGACTTGGCAGCCAAAATACACAAGGGCGATGCTCATTACCAAAGGATACAAGCGCAGCTCCAAAAGTTAAGCGCGGCGGTGCATGGTTAACAAAGGTCGGTCCCCAACTTGAAGAGGTTCTGAGCACCGACCTGCATGGAACGTCCCTTCTGCGAAGACAATGTGTCACATGATGGGAGGCGTCGGCCGTGCTGCCTCCAGCACATGCCGCTGCATGGGGTCCATACCTCGTGCCTCTGCAGATGGGGTGACTACTCAGTCTTGATGGTTCTGGCTCTGGGGCACGAAGTGAATCGGAACAGCCACGGCCCCGCCTCGTTGATGGCAATTTGGAAGTACTTGTGGTCAAAAAGTTCGATACCTTCGACGTACCTGTTACTAACATTCTACCACAATGCTGACCACAATCCACACGGACCACGATGCAAACATGGGCGTTCATGCTGCACTCAAGTCTAAAGGAGCCGCAGCGAATCATGCGCAGGGTCACGACTGATGCTTGACCACCGATTGGAAAGGCTGCACAGGCGGTACAGAAAGACACTACAATCACTACAAGCATAGCAACCACGAAGTGCAGTGTCCTGCCTGAGCCTCATCCGGGTCTTCACAGTAGTAAACAGAAATGTCCCAGCGCGTTATTGGAATTTCCACCTGAGCTATGTTTACAACCACACGGGATGTCTGTGTGGGGCTGAAGAAAGCCGGCAATATTTGCGAAGTCCATAAGGACCTTGCCCCTGTGTCCGTGCAAGCACTCAGCCCGGCCCTGTACCTGTGAAAGTGCCGAAATCTCTGTGCCACCACCTCATCACACAAGACTTGCACTTGTACCAACGGGTGCACAACTCCAGCTCATCTGTTTTCACGCAGGATACAACTCGCGGCCAGAGGCCCAAAAGACCCGATCAAACACTAAACCCAAACGACTAACGCAAGCTACACTTGCCGCTATCACCCAACAGGACTCACACGTTTACATGGTCTTGCGGACCTCACATGGCAAAAACTGGTGCCTGCCCACGATGACCGAGTGAAGGTCATCGAGGTGTATCGGGGGCTCATTCAGGCTACCCCTTGAAATTCGAGCAGTCTACAGAGCATCTGCTCGCAAGAAGAGCTTATCAGGACCGACGGCGTGACAAGATTGGATCGGACCAGGCACGGTGGCATGCCAGGCAGGAGCAGAGCATGGAAGTCGTGAAACAGATTTTCCAGCTCACGGCTCGAATCCAGCTCAGATGTGAGCCAATTAGGAGACCCCGGAATAGCGAGGGTCTAGCTGCTAGCAGACTAGCAGTTTATCTTCAGATAACATTCAGTTTGGCCTGAGCTGCATGTTGTCGTCAAACTGCTTTTTACATGGGCCTTATCCGAACATGTGGGCAACAAAACACAACTCTGGCCGCGAAGACTTAATGCCGTCAGCAGGGCAACACAGCCACACAGACGGCACGAAAAGTTGGCAGGATCTCAGGCAAGTAGAAAATGAGTAGATAGATTGAATGCTCCACGGCGTCGCAGGTGCCGAGGAATGAGATGATAAAACTTAGTTCAGTCTTTGATCTCATCGGTAAGGACGGAGAGCCAAGCTGCATCATAACAGGTTTCATCCCCGCGCTTGGACTTGTGGTTTGAGTTCTCTGAACTGCACTCACTTAAGCATGCCTCGATTTTGCGCATGTGGACAGCCATCTTGAACTTCTCCGGCTTTCTGTGTATCTTTTGAAGATACAGGTTGAGCTCTTTGACATAGAGGTTGTCAATGGCTTGGCCTGGAGCGTGTACGGCACCTTCTGGACTGACGCGCACAGGCTTCCGAGCACTCCAGGAGACAGGTTGCATAGCCGTGCATGAGCAGCTGCCGCCACAGCCCATGTCTGGCAACGTGTTATGAGTCTCTGGTGTGCGCTACAGCTACAGTAGCTACAGCATGCGAAAGCGAAAGAGTCAGAGCCAAAGGCTGCACAAAAATCTCTCAAGACGCGGCTGTGGATTCTGCAGCC